AGTCACTTGGAAATCTCATGTTATTCGTTTAGTACCAGAGTTTAGTGCCCCAAAATTATTAAGAGTTTGTTCTCAAAATACATGCAGTCCTAACTTTTATTGACTATTTTCTTTTTTTGCAGCCAGTTTAAAAACGATGATATGAAGACATGGTTTTGTATTGACAAATTAAAAGGTAAGTGTTGTACATACAGAACGTTCCTCTTTTTGCTTCCCTGAAGTTCATTTTTTAATTTTTTTTTGTTTTTTTTTGTTTTCTAGTGTGCTGCCCTGATGGTACTTATGGATCAGATTGTAAAGGTACATATGAATAAAGGCTGATAGTTTCGAAAGAAACTGTTTGGGGCTGCGTCAGTGGGAGTAACGAAATAATTTGGATATATCAACAAAGTTGAAGTGGTAAATTGGCCACTGTAACGATTACAAAAGCTGATGTTTTGAGCGTTGGCCCTTCACTCCGACGAAGGGCTAACGCTCAAAACATCAGCTTTTGTAATCGTTACAGTGGCCAATTTACCACTTCAACTTTGTTGATATATCCAAATTATTTCGTTACTCCCACTGACGCAGCCCCAAACAGTTTCTTTCGAAACTATCAGCCTTTATTCATATGTACCTTTACAATCTGATCCATAAGTACCATCAGGGCAGCACACTAGAAAACAAAAAAAAACAAAAAAAAATTAAAAAATGAACTTCAGGGAAGCAAAAAGAGGAACCTTCTGTATGTACAACACTTACCTTTTAATTTGTCAATACAAAACCAAGTCTTCATATCATCGTTTTTAAACTGGCTGCAAAAAAAGAAAATAGTCAATAAAAGTTAGGACTGCATGTATTTTGAGAACAAACTCTTAATAATTTTGGGGCACTAAACTCTGGTACTAAACGAATAACATGAGATTTCCAAGTGACTAAATTCCCAGAAATAGGATGTTAAACTTCAACCATCAAAACTTCACTTACTGTGTAAACCACCATTCTTCTAACGTTTCTTCTTGTTCTTCAACCATTGCATGGCACTGGAAAGAAAAAAAAAAGGGAACTGAGCCATGAGCTGACTTGTGCACCTTTTCAGGGAGGTATGAAAAAGATAGCACAAACAAAAAATGCAAAAAAAAAAAACTGAACAATTCTCCCAAAAATTGTCTTCACTTGTAATTTGCACAATTCAGAATACCTCAATCTTGTGACTTCACTGTAACTTTTTTCACTAAGGAATGAACTCCAAGAAAATTACCTCTGAAGCACTATCTTCACAAAGCCCTTCCATAATTTCAACTAATCTGGTTTCACTAATGAAAGAGAAAACACAAGTTGATCAACAACAAAGTGTCTGTGCTAGGAGCTTTTTCCTTGGGGTATAATCCTCTAATCCTCAAATAAAAACTACAATCTTTCAAAAGAGTGTAGCATTTATTCTAGGGTATCATTTGATCTGCTAAACATGGAACAAGTTTGTTTGCATCTGGTAATACTAGTACATCAAACAAATTAGTGTTTGTTCAGCGGGAGAGGGATTTCAAGTCTGAGATCTGGTATCACAACATAACTGGTAACTTTCCTAGTTTGTATCAACCCTTTTATACCCTAAAATCATTATTCATTGGGACTAGATGAAATAGTTTGGATAATTGAGGGTCCAGGTAATTGAGAATATGAATATCGATGAGGAACAAAAACTGATTAAATTAAGAAAGTGACATTTAATCTTGAAACAAAACACTAAAAAACTTGTTTTGAAAAAGATATGGTCTATATCTTCACTGTCCTATGCGAATACCTCTACACCTGTGTATTAGCAATTAAAATTAATGAAAAATGTTTCTGCATTGGCATAAAATGTTGAAGTCAGTTTGTCTTAAGAAGAACATCACCTTAACTTCACTTTTCAACGCTGTAGTTTTTAAAAGAATATGGCTGCAGATCTTGATCTTGACTAATTAATATTAATATTCATAAAAAAATTGGGACGAGAGAAAAGTCCAGATAATGGAGAAATTCGGATAATCAAGGTCCAGATAATTAATCAAGGTTCAACTGTATGCATATCCTGTTCTCTATACATTTCCAAAGGTACTGATAACGAGAATTTGTTTAATAATCAAGAGCTTCTTTTGTTGTTGATCATTTCCTTTATTCTCCTGACCTTAATGTGTGATTCAGGGGTGATATTGTAAGGAGAAAATACTTGATAATCACTCTCAGGGGTTAAAGAGTTAAAGAAAAGTGACAACAACCCACAAGGCTGAATGATCCTTCCCCTCCCTTCTGACGAATCCATTTGGTTGGAATATCAAAAGGGAATGTTCAGCATTTAGTTTGTTAGTTTTCCAAAACTCAGGCATTTTGAGAGTAGCCCCCCCCCCCTCCTCTTGGCATTGTGGTAAAAGTTTGAATAAGGTTTCCTTCAAAAAAATACCTGTTTGCATAACTTCCAAGTTTTCTTTCTTCCCAGTCTGTGTTTCCACCACCAAAATTAGCTTTTGCTGTTTTTTCTTCACCCTAAAAGTGGTAATTTTAATTTAAAAAAAAAAAAAGATAAATAGTCTCAGAGATCCAAATTTAATAAAGTATATCAAAACAGGTATACTGGCAATCCATTTTCTTACCTTCTTCTTACCTAATCTGCATACAGAAATATAAAATTTAACCTTCTATTTATTAATTTCTAAAATGCAAACATACATACATACATACATACATACATACATGCTTTATTTAAGGTATCAAAGAAATAAACAACACAAATAATACCCTAAAAAGGAAGTTTAAGAGGTTAACACTGTGTAAATAAACTTCCAAAGAAATAAAATTTAAAAATGTATGCTTAAAATAAAATCTAAGATAGGTAAAATCCTAAGAAATATGCATGTATAATTTAAGAGCTGTTTTGAAATGTGTTAAGTTACATATCTCAATGACAATAGCAGGCAGGTCATTCCATTCACGAATGATTTTAACAAAAAAAGAATATTTATAACAATTACAGTTTGCCAATTTTACCTGCAGCTTGTAATTGTGGTTGGACCTAATACGTTTTGAAGCAAACTCAAAAAAATTACAAAAATGAAGGCCATTTAGCCTGAATATAAGTTTATAGCATTCTACCAAGGAAAAACATAGTCTTCTATCAGTCAACTTCAGACCAATGTAACATTTCACAACGATCCTCATATGATATCTCACGCCTTCGCTGACCTAAAGCCAATCGAGAGGCTCTTCTCTGAAAGCTCAAAGCTCAATATATGATTGACGTGCAACCTCTCCTCACCACATCCAAATATTAATCAGCGAAGAGTTGATGAGAATAGGCAAATCTATCAATTGGAAGGTTATCACCTTGATCTAACACCAAATTCTCTCAATTACATTACAAGGAATATATTATTATTTAATTTAGGACAACCTCAACATTGAAGAAATAAAGTGTAAATAAATGCTTTTCTCTTTTAATTTCAGGCACGTCTCTTTAACTTTTGTCAAAGTTTTACAACACTAATTAATAATCCCCTATCTGTTACAACATTAAGGATACCTAACCCTTAGAAGTGATTAACATGGTACTTCTCCTTACAATATCCATACACTATCCAGAAAAAAGGCAAAGAGAATACTTAAACTTATCGGGTAGAAGTTGTTATCTTGATCCATCACCAAATACTTAAAACTAGTTTACTAAGAAATGTGTAACAGCTAGAGGGGGGAATTGAAAAAAAAAAAAAAAAACAGATCTTGGAAGTTAAAGGGTTAAGCTAAAAAATTAAAAAGAAAAAAAAATACAGAATAATTTGTCTTGTAATAAAATCACAGCAGTCCACCAAATTTCTGTCTGATCTCACGACGTACTACACGACAAAATATACCTAAGCTAGCCATAAAGTTCTGTGATGTTATAATCAGGATTCAGGTGAAATAAAATCATTTAATATTTACCTTCTTGAAAGCTTCTACAATATCTTTACAGGTTGGACATTTTGCTTTCTTTTCCCTGGCAGCTGATATAAGTGCACTGAACATTAAAATGTTTACAATAATTAAGATTTGTAAAGTCAAGGTTTTTGACATCTTCAAAGAGACTTCCATTAGCGCGCGTGAAAAAAAAAATGCCGCAGCGTGTCTTCAACTGCAAATTTAACTGAGGAAAATGGAAGGAAAAATTCTACCACATCGTTTGAAAATCGGTTAAAATAACCCCGATACTAGAAAGTAAAGAGAGATTCTTTCAGTGAAACAACTCGCGCAACTTTACAACCCGGTTAAACTTTATCGTGTTTCTCTTGAAGAAAAAAACCGCTGGGGAGTCAGGGAAAACCGCGCTATTAATTGGGAGAATAAAGTTTTGATCAGTCATTGTAGAAGAATTCGTAACCCCTTTTTGGATCTTAAATTTACAAGTATTCCACATAAGGTAAGTTGAACTCTTGACATACAAAATTTTTCCAGAATTGGTAGACATGTTGGGCATAAGAGATTAAAGCTAGGGAGCTGTTACAGAAGTAAAAAGTATATTCTCTCAAATACAGTTCAAACTTCGGCGCAAAACGAGGGCTCACTAGACGGAATCAATGAAATTACATGGAAAAATAAACCAATCAAAGTTCTCCACGTTCAGCACGTGACTAGCATAAGCCAATCAGAACGAGACACGAGCTTTGGCCGTGGAAAATTTTGGTTGGTTTGGATCGGTTGAAAGCTGCATAGTACTTCCTTCCACTTCAACTTTTGCAGAGATTTTGTACTACTCCGCACTACTGCTGTCATTTGCAGCTGTTTTATCTTGAATTCAAGAAATGGGAAGAAAATCATACCTTCTAGGCCTCTTGGGGCTACTTCTAATTTCTTGTAAGTGTACTTTTGCTTTTGGGTGGTTAAGGAAAAGCTTGGTTTTGCAAGTATATTTTCAGTTCATTCAGTTTCCTTGAAGAATTTTACGCTCACGAAACTTTTATTTCATGTCAACGTACACGAAAGCAAATAGTCTACGTCAAATATGCAGAGAAATATTCGGTCGTTTTGTTCAAAAGTATGCTTAAGAGTATTCAGTCTTTGGGTAATTACAAAATTTGATTCGTTTGTCAAGCTAAGTTACGATTGATTGCCGTCCGATTTTTTTAACTCACTTGTGGCGATCTAAAACTGTTCGTTAGCAACTAACATCAAGACAACGATTCAGGTTCATGTACGTCCACTATTGGAAATTGAAGTGGGAAAATTGTAGATATCTTAAAACGAAAGACTGTTTAAAAAGTTAATTCAGACTTGTATGCTATTATTGATGGTATTGTTTATTGTACAAAATTTCTCCCATATAACTTATTGACTTCAATAACATTTAAATGGATACTCCTGTATGGAAACTGAATTAACAACCAGATATTGCACAGTTGAATTTTCTTTCCTCAGCGTCACCAGACAATCTTTACAATAATTCTAACTAAGATGATTTCACGGTTCGAGTGCAACAGAATTTCTTTGTTTTTTCCAACCTCTTTGAGTTGATTGTATGAAAATTTTACTGCTTACTCTCTTTTATTTAGATATGAGAGTCGCGAAAAGTTGCTTCCAAAATAGTTTTGGCGCAAGATCGTCTGTATGAGCACACATTTATGAAGTTGCGTGAGCTAATTTCGTGAATATGCACTTGTAACATTTAAAATCCAACCCTCATTATATGTCAGCCTGTGATTGGATATTCTCCACCAACCAATAGGAATTGGCCAGATATGTTATTAAACATCTTCAAGAAAAACTGAAACTTGAAGCTTCATGAGATTGTTAGCTACTGGAGAAGAAATTTCAAGGAATTTGATTTTTCTTCATTTCAGTTTTTGTTTTATTTTTTCATTTTTTTTTTTTTTTTAACAGAAGTTTGTCCACTTGGGCCTTGTGTAATAAACAATGTAGTTGTTTAATGCCGATTCTTGACTGAAAAGGATTTTTCGTTGTTGTTTTGTTTGTTCACGTTTTTAAAACTTAAAATGTTTTCTTCAGATGTTTTATTGTAAGTAAATGACATCTTGTTGTTTCAGAAGCAAAGTGTTGAAAGTTGAAGTAATTTCATCAACAGACAATTGTGTGACTGAAAAACATCTTCGTCTTGTTTGCAAAAGACACCTGTTTCATTAATGTGATTTATTTTAACAATTACAATTGCAGCAGTTTAACCTTTTATTTCAAAGTGACCAAGACAGAATTTCTCCTTACAATAGTATTATGATATAAAGCAGACAAATGCTGAGAATAAAGAAAAATTATCAATTAGGGGATCATGAGTTGACCCAATACCAAATTCTCCAAACTAACATCATAAGAATTGTATCGCAGACAAAAAGGAGAATTACTAATGAGATCTTATGAGTGAGAGGGTTAACTTATATTACTTTCACCTTGCTTTCCTTGGTATCTAGGTTTTTAGATGAAAACTACCAACATTATTTTCAATGTAGGTTTATTTTTGTTTTGTTTTTATTTTTTCAAGCTTTTTGTTTTGCGGAAGAAGAAAAGACAGAGGAACCAACAGAGACAGAACCACCCACAGTAGATGAAGATGTTGGAAAAAGTAGAGATGGATCTAAGACAGATGATGAAGCTGTTCAGAGAGAAGAGGAAGCTATTAAACTTGATGGCTTGAATGTGGCACAGATGAAGGAACTTAGAGAAAAGGCTGAGAAACACACCTTCCAAGCTGAAGTTAGCCGAATGATGAAGCTGATTATTAATTCTCTGTACAGAAATAAAGAGGTAGGAGAACACTGACAATGTTTTCCTTGTTTACCATTTTGCATTTGTTCTTATGGTTAAAGCAAGATCTGAGAAAATAAAGTAACTGGCTTTCAGGGGTGCTTAAGAATGGATAGTATGGATGATGTTTGGCTGGACCATTAACTAGCAGCCGAAAACTTCACCTTCTTGACAAGTGGATAAGTCGTGTTCATTTAGGAAAGTTCTGAATGGAGAGGCAAATCCTGAATATAATTTGATAAACAGTGACCTGTCAGTGTCAATATCTTTGGCCAGTTCACATTACCAGCCATCATCAACAAAATTGTTTTTCTTCCTGCTTGTACAGTACAACTGTGAAAATGCATTTTGGAAGCCTTGAAATCTTGAATTATGGGCTCAATTCATGCATGCAGCGATGTTAATCAATATACTGTCTGTTCTTGTAAAGCAACTATCAGGTAAAGGGATTGGAAAAGTTATTTTCTCTACAGATATCTTCTCATCTTGAAATGAGCAGATATCTTGGACTTCTCTATTATTTTGTTAACTTTGGCACTACCAGTAGATGACTCCCACTTGTTATTAGCTTACAAGTTTATCATTAGTACTATGTTCTTCATTCAGTGAGATAAAAAGTTTCAATAATAATCAGACACTGAAAGCATTTGTTTATTTTTTTTGTTTCAGATCTTTTTGAGAGAACTTATTTCCAATTCTTCTGATGCCCTGGACAAGATCAGATTTTTGTCACTCACTGACAAGTCAGCTCTTGCTGCTACAGAAGAACTGTCAATTAAGATCAAAGCTGATAAGGAAAACAACATCCTTCATGTAACTGATACTGGTATCGGTATGACAAAAGAGGAACTGGTCAAAAACTTGGGTACCATTGCTAAGTCTGGAACAAGCGAGTTTTTCCAGAAGATGGCGGTAAGAGTTCATTTTTTTCTGTTCTTTCATCTAATTTTGGTTTAAATGTTGGCTTTTATGTAGAGTGCAGCACCTTCCAACCTTTTAACAAACTGCAAACAGAGTGTGGTTGCTTAACATCTGTATATTTGATGGAGGTGTTTGTAATAATGTCAGCTTACTTTTTCAGAGCAATGTTCAAAACTCAAACTGTATATAGTATGTACTACTTCTTTATTTTTTTCAAGGTCTCTCATACAGTTGCATTTTCTTTGATAGATATTTTTTGCAGTGTAGATTTGTCATTTTATTTTTGTCTCCATATCCTCAAAGCTTTGCTTTCTTTAATTTTTAGGATGCTCAGTCCAGTGACCAGGCCAGTGATCTTATTGGTCAGTTTGGTGTGGGATTTTACTCATCATTCCTTGTTGCCGACCGAGTTATTGTAACATCTAAGCACAATGATGACAAGCATTACATCTGGGAGTCTGATGCAGCTTCCTTCAGCATCACAGAGGATCCCAGGGGTGACACCCTCCAGAGAGGAACAACTGTCAGGTGATTATAACCACTTTTCAATGTACCATAAACAACTTGGTACAAAATGGTATATGCAGGGTGATGTATTTGTGTCAGTGACAAAATCATTTGGGACCGTCAAACAATCTGGCTTTAAAAAAAATTGAAATTTGGTTCCCTTGCACTCTTTTCCCTTGTTTTTAGCCACACTAATTTTCTTTTTCTCTAGTGTCGACTCCTGTTTTTAGCAGTTGTTGAGATCATCTATACCACAATCATTTGTTTTTCTTTTACCCTTTATTTTATGACAAGGATTGCTGTTCTGTCAAATGTTTTTTGAGTCTGTACATTATAAGGAAAGATGCTTGTATCCCCTCCCCCAACTTCCCTTTCCTCTAGGCTTTTAAAGATTTTCCATTCTGAAGTTTTACTAAAAATGCTTTTTTTTAGAAGCAAGATAATAGCATGCTATCTTAATAATTTAACTATGACCAAAATTTTGTTTTATCCTCTAGCCTTCACCTGAAAGAGGAAGCTCGTGACTTCCTTGAGCCAGACACCATCAAAGACCTTGTGAAGAAGTACAGTCAGTTCATCAACTTCAACATCTACCTGTGGACCAGCAAGACTGAGGAAGTGGAGGAGCCAGTTGAGGAGGAAGCTGCTGAAGAAAAGAAAGCTGATGAAGCTGCAGAAGATAAGAAAGATGAAGAGAAGGAAGAGGAGAAGAAGGATGAGGAGAAGGAAGACAAGGACGATGACGCAGAGGTTGAGGAGGAATCAGAAGAAAAGGAGAAGAAACCAAAGACTAAAAAGGTTTGTCTGCTGCATGTAAATAAACTTTTTACACCCTTACATCAGTTTGCAAGCTCTCCACATTGTTCTCTATACATTTTATATGTTACTTTAACCAGGAGAATTTGAATAATAATCAAGAGCTTCTTGACCCTGCAATCATTTCCTTTATGTTTGATTCAAGGGTGACACCATTGGGAGCAATAAGAAACTTATCACTTTCAGTGGTTAGAGGGTTTATTTCTCCTGGGAGCTTCTTTAAGATGTAAAAAGAAGATTAACCTTCATACATAGGTGGAAAACAAATTACCT